TTTTTTTTTTTTTTTTTTTTTTTTTTTTTACGCCCCGAAAACGAAACACACATTGCGGCGGAGTCTGGCGAAGTTTTATCACTAGGGAGTGGATGCAGATTCGCGCGGTCGAAATTTTGCTCGCGTCAGAGGCGGAAATTCGTTCCGATGCACGTTATGATTACCGTGTATGACGTGTATATCACGTGTAACACGATTAATCCCGCCTTATTAAATGGCGTAATTAATTAACGGCAGCCGTGTGCACGCGCGTGCAGCAGATATTAATTAAATTAGTTTCTATGTTTTCGTAAGATTATACAGGGTGACCAACTCTGGCGGCCGCGTTCGGTCGTGCCCGTTGCACGAGTTGCATCGGTTAATTACATCTAACCGGATTACGGGATGGATTGTGCGCATTCTACGAATACCGAGAGAGGGGAGGGGGGGGGGGTATTGTGCTTCCGCTAACGAACCGGGACCGCCGAAAAGCTTTTGAAAATTACTCGAATATCTGAGACCGGGCCAAATAATTCCCGATAATTAGATGTCGGTTTGTAATAACTCATTCTTAGAGAAGAGAACTTCGAGGTATTGCCATACCAGTATTTAGTATAGTCAGATTTCGATTAATCGGGGATTGGCAAATGGTGCAATGAGTGCACGAATGAAGGTTTGGATGAAGGATTGGAGAGACCTAATATGGTAAAGAAGATCTTTTCTTTCCCTTTCGTACAATAATATAGCTGATAGAGTTGTAGTTTTATCTCTTTTGGGAGGGAGTAAGAACAAGGGAACCAGAAATATGTATATATATTCTATTTTTTCCCTTCCATCCCTGGCGAGTAGTTGTTGAGAGTAACAATTTTGTTTCGTTGCTACGAATGCTTAATTGCTTAATCGTTCTTCCTCCTTGTCCTCTCACTCGGACAAAATCGCTTTCGCGCAACTGCTGCTATTTATCAACGTCCAACGATCTAACCGCCACTGGATAAATAATTTTTCCAGATTCCTGAGAGTGATTTTCACCCGTTGTTTAGTCTTACTTTCGTTCGATCCTCTCGCAACAGTATATATATAATAATATTATTATATATAATTCGATTAATCATCGAATCATCCTTCTCGAGGCAAATTCGAAAATCGAATTGAAGATAATTCGGAAACGTTTGTGCTATTCTCTTCTTTTCGAGAATAAAGATTATCGTGTTTCGTGAGAAATGGATAAAAACAGAAATGGATTAAAAATGAAATTGGGCGAAATTGACGATTGTCCTCGTTGGAAGACAAACAAGTCAACAGTAAATCGCTTTCTCGATCCATTATTCGATCCTGTCTGCCTGCCTCTTGGACGAATAAATCGATAACGATATATCTCCCGTTCCACGTTGTCCTACAACCGTTCGATATTTGTAATTTAAATATATCGGAGCTTTTCTTCTCTCGGGTGTCTTAGTGATAAATGGCTCTCCCTGTCCCTCCTCCCTAACAGGTAAGTCGTAAACTCGCTCAAGTTTTTCTGATCATCGGGAAAAAATGGGAGGAGGACGGGAGAAGACACGCGAGGAAATAACGTCTCAACATGGCCTGTAATAAAACGAACGGACCGGGTTCACGAAAATGGGGCAATATTTCGCGAGGGAGAGGCGCGCGCTTGTCGAGCCAGCAACACTACGTGTAATTGGTCTTAATCGGTGAGTCAGACGATTATGTCAGCGTCGAGCTACTCTTTTTTCTTTTTTTTTTTCTTTTTTTTTTTTCGTATCGATTAGGTTATTCTTCCATTCCTGACAAGGCCGTGATTAATTGTCCAGAAAATGATTAGTCAGTCAGGATGGTTTTGAATTCTTGAATCTGGACAGCCATGTGCTCCTCCTCGTTTAAAACGTTGACACAATTATTTTGACAATATTCGTTGAAAAGGTTCAAGAGATAGGTTATATTATATCATTCATATGTTGAATTACGTCCAATTTAATTGTTAATTACCTTTATTGATTTGTTTAATAGAAAATAATATTTGCATTGGATGTATAATTTACTATTAATTTCTCCGTATTGGTAATTGTATTTTAATTACAAAAATTAAATTTATTGCTATTGTGTTGCGTGTTCCAGTATGAAATGTTTATCGTTGTTCTTATTTCCATATATATATATATATAAGAAGAAAAATTACGATAAATTATGACAGCAATTAAGTATTTGATTAAAAAATATATGACAGGTATAATGAATATTGAATGAAATACGAGAAGAAGAATAAGAAAAATGAGAAAAGAAAATTTCTATAAGTTTTCATGAGAATTGTTGTTTTAATCCATCGAATGGTTTTTTTTTATTTTAAAATGCATTTCCAATCGCAATATCGCCCGCGGACTTTCTCTTCGTCGATCGATTGTTCTCGAGTCTTTGTAAATTTAAACAGCTCTAAATTCCATTAGAATATACTCTCCGTTTAATAGTTATCGAGCGTGTGAATCGATTTTATTTAACAACCTGTTAATAACAACGATTAAACGATTATTTTTATAAAAATAAAAGTTTCGAATTTCAAACTCGAGTAGATACAATTAGTGACATTTCGAGAACAGTCAACAGTTTTCACTTTTAAACCGTAGAATTCTCACTTTTTTTCTTTTTTCTTTTTTTTTTTTTTTCGTTCTAAAAGAATTTACTACACTTTAATCGTGACAATTTCGCTGAACTTTCGCTCGAATTTCCCCGTTAAGAGAAATACGAAACCGGCGCTAGTCTAACCGATTGCAACGATTCTTTCCTTCTTTCTTCGTTTTCTCTTGATAAGTTCGAAAACCTTGTTCGTCTTAGTCGCGCAAAAGAGCAAGGAAAGTAATTACAGATAGGAAATTGCTCGGAGGAAAATGAGCTTTCCATTGGCTCCCATGATGGATTGACGTTTAAATCAGAAATAATTATTTGTCGTTTAAATGGTGGAATAAATTTGCCGCCCGCCCGCGGAGTGTAATGCCGCGAAATTATTGTTCCTTGAAAACGCGCTTAGGCTCCTTCGCGAATTAATTCATCCCGTTTCCAGAGGTAGAGTGAAGTTTCCTCGTTCATTCATCGATCCAAGTTTTTAACTTTCTCAAAAGAGGTTGAGTCCCGTCGCAAAAGTCTACTAATCAATTAGATTCGAAGTGGCTTTTCCTTACCTAAATCCTATAACCGCTCCTTCTTCCCACGAAGCAATTTCTTTTTATCGAATTATCTTTCGGAGATATAGGTTGAAAGATAAGTCTGTTCGCGGAAAAACTTTCATCGAATCGAAAATTTTTAACGTGTATAATTTGCAAAAAAAAAAAAAAAGAGAGGGAGATGCGTAGAAAATTTCTAACGTAAAAAAAAAAAAAAAAAAAAAAAAAAAGGAAAAAAAGAAAAGAAAAAAGAAACTTAAATATTATCAGGAGGAACAATTAATCATCTCCTATTAGATTAGAATTAAATGGGAGAAAAAAAAATCGGTCGATCGGTCGAATATTATTTAAAACTCGGCGAGAAACGGCGCACTTAGCCGACGAACAAGTGTCGCGTACTCGACACCGATTCGTTTTTTTCTCGCGTTACAACATGACGCATAACTTATCGATAAAAAAAAAACCTGAGACATTCACAAGCTATCGTCGAGGAGAACAATTGCATCGTGTGACCAAACATGTAATTGGTGGTAGGGATTTCTTCGCGCTATAAATGAACAGTATCCAACCCGATTTATTCGTTTGTTTCGCAGCCCTCGACCAAGCTCGTATCGATTTCGACCAACGAAACGTCATCGGACCGCGATGGATCGCTTCCTGCTTTTCGTCCTGTTGTTCACCGTTTTGCCGTTCACAATGTAACGAAACACATTCGTTCTTACGATCCTTCGTTATGCGAAAGTTGAAAAGAGAAAAGTGGTTGCGTGGACGACGAAAAAAATTCGATCGAAACATATTCTTCGTGTTCTTTTAACAATAAATAATAAGAATTCGAAAGTTTTTTTTTTTTTTTTCTTTTTGGTGTTCGAGAAATCACGAAACTTTCGTGAAAAGTGGTTAAGATTGGGGAAAGAAGTATAAGATAGAACGAGAGAAAAAGAATAATGAAAGTTTTTGAGAATAATATCTATAGTTGTAAAATTTTTCGTTATACGATTTAAAAATGGCAATTTGTTAATTTGGAATCTTTGCAGACAAGAAACAGTGGAAGAGGGAGGCTGCAAATGCGCGGTATTTTCCAGGCAAATATCGAAATCAATCATTGAACGTGCCATTCCCTATAACGTCACGTGCGACAGCGAAGGGGAGGAGAAGTGTCAACAATTGTGCGTTGCTTTGGTCGGTAAATAATCACCGCATGTTTCGATAGTAGACTGACAAACGTCAGAAAGATAGGTGTAATTTTGTGCAGGCCGAGAGCGCTAGGGACCAGGCACCGCAAATGATTTGCAAAAAGCTGAATAACAACGTGGAAAATCTTCAAGTAAGTTTCTAAAACTTCTCAACAACGATATTTTACATAATTAGAATATCCTCGATGCGAAAGGTCGATTAAAAAATAATACGAAAATACGAAATATTTTTTTCAGGTCGCCGTATACGCGAAAGTGTGCGAAGCGACCAGCTGGAAATTCACAGGTTTGAAAGCAGCGGATCCAATTTGCTGCCACGAGGGGAAAAGCATAGCTTGTGACGAGCCACTCCCGATGATCGAAAACTAAATGAACTCATTCTCAATTATTCCGTAACCCATTGATTAGTCCATTGTGAAATTTTACATTAACCAACATTTGCAAAACGTTTATTACTTTATCGCTGGTTAATGAACCCGCCTGTTGTTCGAATACCCGTTATAAATGTTTAATCATTATCGATCCAATTATGAAAATAAATACGTAATCCGGTTTAATCGAGTCGAAAAAAAAAAAATTCAATTTCGCCCGCTTCAAACACTTTTCGCCACCTAGATCTCGGATTCCAAAGATTTTTCCCGCTTCCTTGCCGCGTTTCATTTCAATATGGATCGAATGTCAAAGATTCCTCCAGGAACAAAAGCATCGGTTTAAAAGCATCAAATCCCACAATCCCCTTTTCGCGCCAATCTTTAAAGATCTTTCGAAACGATCGATACTCGTAAACGATAACGCGATCCATCTTTCGAGATAGAAGTAGCCGAGTAGAAAACCACGTTTCCACCAGATATCTTCTATTTCGTGGATAGATGTTCCAACAATCTCTTCTGCCCTCGACTAGATCGAATAGAGAGGTTTGTTATCGCTCCTGTCTCGCTTCCTCCCACTCGAAGAATCGCGCCTTCCAAGAAACTCTCTGTACCTTGCCATTTCTGCAAGACCATTGTGTGCCCACGGTTTTGTCGTCTTCCACTCCTCCTCCTCCTCCTCCTCCTCCTCCTCCTCCTCCTCTTCTCGATTTAATGACCGCGCCATTTTCGCTCGGTGGTTCCCTATCGGTTTCACGAATTCTCTCGATGAATTCCTCTTGCTCGTGTCTGAAACAATTTTCTTCTTCCAAATTAATTCGTTCGACGAACGAACAACACGTTTGTTTATTCCCCCCTCCCTCGTTTAATCGAAAGAGTTATTGTTGCAGCCAGGAACGTACACACGAATACCAAACGAGAATCGTGTTTTGCGTCTACACGCGTTGATTCGTCACACCGACCGACTTCCTCCTTGGGGACAAAAGGATCGAGAACGAGGACGAACGACTATTTTTCGCTGCTTACTTAGTTTCCACGTACAACATCGCGTGGAGCTTTACACGCTGACTTTGACTACTAGCAAGTGGTTCGTCCAAGAAACGATGATCGGTATATGTTCGAGCGCGTTGAATTGTCGATATGATTCCAAGCATATGTATATATCGTCGTAATTTGTAGCAAAGATTTTTTTTAATCTAATTTTGGAAAAGACCGCGTTGATTAACGTTATGGTGAATTATAAAGCAACTGTCTGTCTCGTTATTCTCTCGAAACATTGCTCGATATTCTATTAATCGATTGTCAGGTAATTTCCAGTCATCAAACATCCTTAATCATACGATCGGTTATATAGCACCGGTAAATCCATTCGTGATAATTTGCGTTTCATATCGCAGTATATTTCTTCGCATCCTATCCACCACGCCCGTGTCGTTCTAGCACAATTAAACGAAACGGAAATTAAGGTAACTAACCGTGAGTTTCCGGTCCTATCTTATCGTCCAACTTTCCTGAATATGCGCGTATGTTACATTCGCATTACTATGCGTTATTTCGAATCGTATTGGATTTAGAGTCATATTTTTTTTTTTTTCACAAGGAACGATTATTTAAATCGGTGAAAATGATTAAAGAAAAAAAAAAAAGGTTTTTTTTTGTATCTTGTCTTTTGTAAAAATGATACAATAATATACCGCTACTACTGGTTTTCGAAACCAGTTTTTATTTTTGCAAAAAGTCGGCAGGAGTTTCGTATATTTTCGCCCGAATTTATCCCGTTAAAATACGAAAAGTTTCTCCTCATCGGATAATACGTTCGATAGTGATATATCAACGTGTCGCAGTTATGCATGTTTCCCTTTGAAATGAAATCGTAAAAATTTTGATATACGATTTAAATAAAAAAAAAAAAAAAAAAAAAAAAAATAACATGGCAAAGAAGAGGCAAAATTTCGAGATATCTCGAGAATTTAAAGGAGAACCACCGGAAAAAATTACACATGAAAAGATATATAATAAATCTTTCTGAAAATAAATTTCCATCCAAAAAATATTAATCCTTCCCTATTAATCCTTACTTTCGATTCTATTTCAAACGTGTCACACATATCCAGCCACACCCAGACCACAGATAATTTCGACATATTGTACCCGCATAAACATCTGCAGACGAATGATTGCGTATAATGATTGACCTTCAACCCTCCAACTATTGACTGCTTCATGGCACATTGTCCATGATCGGATCGTTTAACTTATTTATCTCATGAAAAAAAAAAAAAAATAACCAGTGTTAAAAGGAACCAGCGTTGAAGAAGAAATTTGCTCCGCCCTTCTTATACGATAAATCTCAATCAAAGCGAGGATGAACTAGCGGTAGCTTATAATATGCGTCGCGCAATCGAATCTCGAGGGATAATACCGGCACATTTCCGATGAGTGAGCTACATTTGCGTAAATAATTCTACAGCGATAGGATCATCGATGCACGGGGATTACGATGCGCATACAACGTTAGTTTGTTAGTAGGGATATTAGTTTCCAGATGTTCCGCGTGTGCAAATGAGGACAAAGGGAGCGAGACGATAGAGACTTGCGGAGGATACGTGTCCCGCCGATCCAATTATCTCGAATAGCAAAGCGGAGGAGGAGGATCACCCGCCTGCATATTTTCATCTAGATATAATTTCTTTTTCCCGCCATTTTTAAACATCCTTACTCGCCGAGGAAGTTATCGAGGAGGAGTTTCAAAAGTTCCAATTTCGATCCAATTTGCTCCAGTTTCGCATCCCGAATCGTATTGTCGTTGCCATTAACCACCGAACGACAGTAATTTATCTCTATTAGCTGCGTGTCAGGCTGTGATTAAGGTATCGACGATCTCGATACACTGCGATGATTAAACGAGATAATAATATCTCGGCCGCGAAGAATTTTATTTAGGAGAATGAAATGTGGCGATATATACACGTGTATATCGATGTTTCTCCTCTCAATTTGTAAAGTTTCACAATTATCCATTTATTCCCCCCTTTCCTCCTTTTCCGTGAATTTAATTTTAGGCAACGCCTCTCCATTCCATATTCCCGTACACTGTTTGCTCCTTTCTTCTATCCTCCCCTCCCCCTCCCCGTATTTCGATCTCTTTTTCCGTTCAAAGGCATTCATTATGTCCACCTCTGCCGGTGACTTGGAATTAATGGAGCGACGCTGCTTCAAACGATGACGTCGGAGCCAGTCCACGGACAAATTACCTTTCGGGGGGAAAATTTTTCGATCCCTCCCCGAAAGCATTTGCGAAAAAAGGAAAAAAAAAAAAGAAAAAAAAAGAAAAAAAAGAAAGGCTCACGCGTATCTTTTCATAAAGATGTTTCGATCGTTCATTCGTCCGTTGACGAATTACGCACGCGTCATCAGCTAATTGCTAATCACGATACCGCTAATGCACGTGCCTCACCTTCCCCGTAACAGGGAACCACGCCGCCACCAACTACACGAGGCACGAGCAGCGCAAACATTACCTTAGAGCCCTTAAACCGGGCTTAATCCTCTGCATGCCTTTCACGCCTCCTTAATGTCGCTTCACCTCGCACGCCACGCTTGTTGCCCCATATGTGGACGCTCTCCACGCTCTCCCCGTGTTCAATTATGACATCCCGGATATAATCGCTATCCCCGACCTTCGAGGGAGGGAGGGGCAAAATCTCGTTACACGATAAATATTTCGCGTTGTAATAATCTTCGATTAGGACGGGTTCGATTAAAACGGGTGCGTTGATAAGTGGCAGGTCGATAAGTCGTTTCCAAGTTTCTTCTTATCGTACGAGTTGATGCGATCACGGCTGGTATTATGGTGGAAAAAGTGGAAGGAAATCCTTCGAACGATCGTTGAAAACTTTTCGCGTAATGGAAGAAAAAAAAAGAAAGAAACAATGAACGTGTTCTTTGCGCTTGGAAAATACGAAAATACCAATTTGTTCGTCAAAGTAAACGTGCGATTACGATATAATAGATCGGAAATTATTCGCTGCAAGAGTTAACCTCTTAACACCTCTTTCAACTTTTCAAATAAGTTGACAAGCGTTAACGGCGTTCGAAATGCACGCTCGACGAGTGCGTTTTATACTCTCGTTTTAACGATCCTTAGGCACAACGAAAATTGTACAATCACAATATTTTTCCGCCCGTCAACCGAGCGGCGGAACGACGTCGCGTCAGATGTATTCGGTCGTAATTATCTACGCTCGAACCACTCTCCCCTCTCTCCTCCTTCTCCCCCTCCTTCTCCCCTCCCGATCGTTAAGCCACACGCACGCTGTCGCAATACATCCGCATTCACGTGACGTGCAAACATCAGGTTAGTCGCCTTAAGCTTGCACCAGCCTGCTATAAGCTTCCCGCGTCTCCTCGATGTCGCTACAGATCATACGTTACATGTTATTTCGGCCGGAAACCGAAGCGTACGAAACTCTCTACTCCGCACGATCCACGTACGATTCCTGGCAGCGCACGATCGTGTTTGACGCAATCACAAAGATGTACTTATACACGTGCGTTTACGCATCCATTAATCTTACGTATTCGGCATTCCTGCTTTGCCGGTCGTGGATTAATAGCAGCGATTATTACTTGCTCCCACTGATTGCTCTTCGTTTGATGTTCCAATGTTGAATTGCATTCAAGCTATACAAGGTGCTGCTGCTTTTCGTGGAAAAAGAAAAAAAAAAAAGAAGAAAGAAACAAAGAGACGTTAAACGAATAATCCGAAAATTATTCTCTATCATTTTTCCTATCACGTTACATCACGATTAATCGGCAATCTTTTAAATATCGAGATTTATTTATCTCGAGGGAGAGCATCTTATCCACTTCTTTTACGAAGTTGGATTATCGAAGAAAAAATCTTGGCTACGAATTGGAAGAATTCGGGAGGGGAAGGTAAAGGGAAAAAGGTCGAAGAATCGCGTGATAATAATCGGTTAAATAGTTAGGTGGGTGGAT